GGATCTGTATTCACCAGGGAATTGGTGAAGAGTCTCTCAAGGCTACTCAGGGAAGGGAATTAGCACATTGGGAGTGGTGGCAGCGGACCAGATCTAAGCTGGTAATTAAGCTTAGAAGTTTTCATACAGGCCCCCACATCTGTACCCTAAAGTTCAGAGTGGGGAAGGAGCCTTGACAGAAGCAGATAAACTCATGATATTTGTGACTTTCAGCTGCGTTTGCATTGATGTCCTGGCTGGCAAGTCCTGGTGACAGGGCCTTTCCTGGCTGCCTGTTGATCTCCATTCTCTCTTTGTCTCTTACAGACATGGGATGCACAGGACACTGGCTGAGTAGAGGAAGCAGTGCACAGCTGACAGCTTTGGAGAAGTACGACTGAAGGCAGCCTGAAGAGTGACCTGTTAAGGGGGACAGCCTCAGAAATCCAGGCAACTGGCAGCAGGTCAACATGGCCTGTTAGCGTAAGGTAATAGTCACTAAGCACCAGCATCTGTCAATGCACGCGCCGCCACTTCCAACCACTCTGACTTTCTTGTGACATGTATGTACTCTCTCTCTCTCTCTCAAACACACACACACACACACACACTCAGGCAAGCACTCACAGACAGGCATATGCACAGATACACACGTATTTACCAGTTAATGGATGTTAGGGGGCTTATTCTTTCACCCTCTCACTTCCCTGGTCCTTCTCGCATGAACAGAGAGCATCAATACCCGAAGTCCGAAGGTGCAAACAATTCGATGTTTATTGGGGTGAACTTCCAGCAAGCATGATTCCAGTTTCCTTCCTTAGTGTCTCCCTTCCCAGCTCTGACACCACAGAGCCTTGCTTGTCTTCCTGTTCCCATTCCCCCCCATTAGCAAAACATAATTCCAGTTCCCCCACCCCCAGTCCCTGTTCCCATTCCCCTCCTTACTTCCTGATTGACTGCAGACTATATAGTAAAACTTGAGTTCTGCTTAGCTATATCTTAACCAATCATTTTACTGAAATTTAACTAACCAATCCTAACACATTGTAACATGGTTATTTAACCAATTATATCCCACCACCTTAATTGCTTTACACCCAACAAAATTAATTATACAGCAGACAGAAACAATCACAGAACCAGTCAGAGATTATACAGACAAACATTAGGGAAGTGGAGACTACAGTGATAGAACAATACAGAAATGAGGATTTTACATCCCAGCTGTTGAGAAGTGAGTTCTTGCCACACAGGATGCTATCAAACTAAGTTTCCTTTTACATCTTCTAGGCTCTTCCCTTTCTCTGGAGGTGATAGGAATATCAGGACAGGATTGTATTCCTAACAGCCCAATAGCACCTTATTTCAATGTGACTAGTTTGCAATGTAAGGATGTGAACATACCAGGGCCGGTTCCAGGCACCAGCATAGCAAGCAAGTGCCTGGAGCAGCCAATGAAGAGGGGGGCGGCATGTCCGGCAATTCGGCGGCAGGGCCGTCACTCCCTCTGGGAGCAAAGGACCTCCCGCCGAATTGCCGCCATAGAATGAAGTGGCGCTAGAGCTGCCACCGAATTGCTGCCGATCGCGATCGTGGCTTTTTTTTTTCCCCTCCCTGCTTTTTTTCCCCAAAAACGCTAGAGTCGGCCCTGGACCATACGCTTCCCAGTTTATGGCTGGCCTCTGCTGCTTAGCCAAAGGTCTTAGCCTAAGAACCGGGGCCTCAGACTGTCACAGTGAGAGAAGGCCCTTACACAGACAGTGATTTTGATTCTTTCTTTTATACCTCTATAACTAGCTAAGTGATAAGAATACACCTAAATTCTTAAAGTATAGGCCTTTACAGACAGGCCTGAATATCTATATCCTAACAATGGACACATCTTTAGCTCGTGAAATTGCCCCAAACTAACTGGATTCTGTGGTCTTTTGTTTGCACTTTTATAACTTGTCCCTCAGTGTTGCAGAGGGGTATTTACAGGCAGTTACACAGGTACGTATGAGACCTGGCTCTGAATCAGAATCCCACCTCTAACCCCTGGTTCTGAGCTTGCAGCACAAGCGGACACAGAGCAAGCACTGAATCAGAACAACCCAATGTCTGGGAAAGGTTCGTCCAGATCTGGGCCTGGGTTTTGTTCCAGTCCAGCTCTCGTCTATACACGATGTGAAATACCTGTGTGGAGAGGCGTCGGGTTTTGCAGCGTGGTAGTGTTATACACAGGTAGGAACTAGGATGTGGTGTAGGGGGATTCTAGCTAATACACACAGTTAGCTGGAATGCCATTGTCCCCCTAAGCCAGTTTTTGGTGCAGGATTGCTAGACACTAATAGTTCCATGGAGCTAGTGTCAGTGTGGTGTATAAGGGTCGGTTAATGGGGCTGTAGTGCAGTATGTACTCTCACACTCAGGTAAGTCGGCAAGGTTAGTTATTCACTATATAAGGGGAAAGCTGGCCTCTTTCTATACAGAATACAGCAGAGGGTAGCTTCAGCTTGAGGTCTCTATTTGTGTGTTTTCTTTGGTGCTATGATAGCTCATTGCCTAAAACTCCATCCTCCCCAAACTGGCCTCAGACCTGCCTACTCTACTGTGTGCATCCCTCACAACGGGCCAGACCAGGTTCGTATCACAGCACAGAGCGCAGGTTTGCTGTGTGGCTTGGCGCAGAAGAGGGTGGTCTCTCCATCTTGGGCTGGCTGATTGCCTGGGAGTAGGAGACTCCTGGGATCTCTTTGCATGTTGCATCAGTATGTTCTGCATGCTAGCTAGCCAGGAGGAAAGAGATGGTGGGTGAGCATTTTGAAAGTTGGCTGCCTTGTTATCATCCTCTAGGTTCTCCTGGGAGTCCGTGTCCCATTTTCCTTTCATGCGCTGAGCCTCTCTCTCTCAGCTAGTCCTTTAGTGAGTGCGTCCCGTGTCTCTGACTCACGGCAGATTGATTTCCAAACATGGCTGCAGCTTGCTGCTCGCTTGCCCAGCCAATTCGGGGCCTGGAGGTAATGCCGTGGCTGGAAATGTTTCTAAACCCCTGATCTTTCAGGGCTGTGCTTTCCGCTGGCTTGTTCAAACCACTTCAAGGCTGAAACCTGAAAGAGCTGACGTGGTAAGCCAGTCTGCTCTGCTCCTGTCCAGCCCTGGTGACTGCAGCGAAGCCAGGGGCAAAGAGGAGAAATGTACCCTGGCCAGGACAGGGTGAAGGTGTTGTGTTAAGAGGGTTTCTCCCATTTGTGTGATGATCTCTGTGATGTCTAGCAAGGTGTTGATTTCTGTGGCACAGCTGGAAAGGCTGATTCGAGCCTGTGTGTCTGATACCTGGTCTATTGGCTGTTATAGGTGGGTTGCCTGCAAATAGCTGGGGGAGGCTGGGAGAGCCACTTTCCCGGCTGTTTTTCCGCTTCTGCACAAGCTTGCCTTTACTTTTGCTCTTTTCTTTCCCTCAGGGAACCTGGAAACATGGGATTGATTGGGAGCATGGGGGTTGGCGCTGGAGAAGGACCAGGACTCTTGGTACCATTGGACAGTCCTGGTTCCTGCTCCGCCCGTTGGAGTTAGCTGTAGAACTGACACCTGGCTTGCACTTTGCTCAGCTCCGTGGAGGCAGCTCCTTTCCTGTGGACTCCAAGCCAGGATCCACAGGTTGGATATAGGACATAGAGGAGAGGAGGCGCTGCCAGCGCACCGGATGGAAGGAACTCCAGCCTAGGGAGCTGCCATCTGCTTCTTGTCAGGTTGTTGTGAGCGTCTGTTCCTGGCTGCCTGCTGACGGAGGTTGCTGGATCCCAGCATGAGAATGTTATGATAGATGGTCTGTTTACCGCTTTTCATCCCTGCTCAGGATTACACAGGATGTTAGTGCTTTTCTGCAAAAGACATTTCTGGGTCTGGTCTCTCGCCCTCCCCTACTGTCCTTTTGCTCTCTCCGCCCACCTCTTTCCCCCTCCCCACCTCCCGCCTCCAGTGCTCTCTGTTGCTACCATCTATGGTACTGATCTATGCACGCAGGCCTCATGGGATTCCTTCCTGAACACCTCTGCCCGAGGTGTAGGCCTCCCCTCCATGCTAGTCAGGCCGCATAAGTCAGCTCCAGGGGGGACAGATGGGATCAGCGTTGGCTCCTAAGCCTTCAAACACGTGTTGGCCAGCTGGGCAGCCTCTGTCATGATCAAGACGCGCTGTTGCTTCATTCAAGGGTGAGGATCAGAGATGCTGGTTTAACTTCCATTAACTCCTTGATGCCTGAGCCTTTCCCAGCTGGCATGTGTCCAGGGATGGGGAACGTGCGAGGAAGGGGGTTGAATTTGCTGACACGGGAGACCCAATGCCCTGGCCCTACCACTAGCCAGAGGCATTCTCCCTGCTGCTGACTTTGCAGATATCTCACTGTGAGTTCTGGCTGGAAGGGCCCAATAGCCCAGGATTACCATACAGACATCAATAGTGCCCCAGTAACACCTTCCCCGACCTCTTGGCATCTCTGCCCTCTGCCCAGGCAACGGCTCCAGCAACACCCCTCAATCCCTCCCCACATCTGGGGCCCAGAAATCCACCTCTGTCTGCTCTCCTGCTCGGTCCGAGGGGCGCGGACTCCTCCCAGTGGCCCCCAGCAGCAGGGATGGTCCGGCTGGCATGTTGGGCGGGCCCTCGTCTCTAACCCATGCAGCTCCCGCTGCACGCAGCACTTTGGGAAATGCAATGCAAACAGTTTATGCTGGGATCAGCTCTCCTCATAAACACACGGAGATGCTTCCAGTTGCCTAAACAGCCCCCAGGCACGACTCAGGGCCTGTCCTGCTCTTTGTCCACAGCAGAAGGACTGATTAATGGACTTCTTTCCGGAGGAAACCGCAGTCCTGCCCACCCCCGCCCCCCATCCCCCCAGCAGGACTCCCAGGGCCAGCTAGCCATCTGTAGCCATTTTTAGTGCAGGAGGCATAAACTACATGCCAGCTCCACTGCCATATAGGGGAACGAAGAGGCCTGGGAACCTCAGTCAGGCCTATTTACTTTCTCTCCTCGCCTCCTGCTCCCATTTCATGGTGGCTTGTCTGTCTATGTAGCTATCTCTGGGCTTGCCCTGTACCCAGCACCTGGGCCTCATGGCTCTGTGGCCTTTGTCTGTTCTTTGCTTTTCAAACAGAAACTAGTGTCCTTTCCCCAGGAGCTCCACCTGCCGGATTGACAGCCCTGGAGCCAAAGGTCCCTGCTTAGCCCCAGAACTTACCCGGCTAGGCAGCAAGCATCCCCTGCCCGCCCTGACCTGGCAGAGGGCACTGCAGTCTGCCTCTCTGCTGCGACTGCCAACAAGGGGCCAGTCAGGGTCACTCACGGTGGCCGTTCCACGGGGAAGTGAACTCCGCTCTAGCCAAGGCCATTCCAAGGCAGGGCCTCCAGCCAGCCTGCGCTTGGAAAGGCAGCAGCTGGGGCAGTGAGCGGTAACCCCAGCGAAGTGCCTGGAGTGTGCTGGTACAAGGCCTTTATGAAGCCTGGGCTCCCCGGAGCCCTCCCCCCGAGGAGTATGCCAGACTCATCCTGTGCTGGGGCAATGGCAAAGTATCTCCCCCTGCCTGCATCTTCCCCCAGCATCTGTACATCGTTGTGGGGCTCCCCAGGCTATTGTGAGCTCCTTAAAACCCAGCGCTGAGCCTGGCTGTCCAACTCCATACCGCGCACGTCTCTCCTGCATGGGTACCTGCAACACTGACTCAGCTCCCCAGCTCCTCTCCCAGCCTGCTCTGGGCTCCGCATAAAACCCAGGCTGGCTCTTTGTAGGCGGCCTCATCCCGTGTTTCATTAGCTGCTCCTACCCCAGTACACAAGTCAAACAGCCCTTTCCCTGCCCTTGGCCGTACAGCTCCTTCCTCTGACCCACGGCCGCTGCTGCACCTTCGCCCCACTCTGCCCGAAACCCCTGTGGGAACCGCTCCATCTCACAGCTAACGCACTGTGTGATCAGGGTGCGTGACAGCAGGAGGGGGCTGGAAACAGACACACACACCTGCTGAGACACACATATATACACCCATCCTAAGCCAGCTATACCCAGCCACACATACACACTCACAGAGATACAACGCTTTCTCTCTCTCACACACACACATGTCTGCGCGAGGAGGCTGAAGCTGGATGGCTAAAGATGGAGCTCCGTCAATGTCTCCCAGCCCAAGGTGCAGTGCTGCATCTCTGGTCAGTTGTGAGTCTGAGATGAAGCACTGTAGCTCGGGAAGGGAGGAACTGTGCAGCAGAGGGACATGCATCTGTCCAACAGGCCGCACGGGAGCCCAGGCCAGCAGGACATATGGCTCCAGGCAGCAGCATCCCTTGATGGGCAGCAAGAAGGGATGACTCACCACTTGGGTTCAGACCCAAGGAGCGGCATAGGGTGTGAACCAGGGAGAGAAAACCCCAGGCCACCTGAGGCTCAGCGCAGAGGTAGAGGGAAAGGTCTCTAGTACCAACCAGGGCACAGGGTGGTCTTCTGGTTCCGGGCGGGCGGGGGGAAGGTTAGGAGGGATTTTCAGGAAGCCTGTTATCAAGGCGGCCCCTAGTTGCACTGCAGTTGCCGTCATTGCTGGCTCTAGGTGTGCACGTTTGCATGCACCTGTGTGGATCTGTCGGCAGAGTGGGTGTGGGTGTGCCAGCCATGCGAGTTCCCTCCCCTACAATGGGGCGAGCCACACTCTGCCCACCCCAGCTGCACTTTGGGTACATTCCCTAATGCTCAGCAAGGAGTTTGGAGCAGAGGGGAGCTCTGGGGAATGAACCTCGCCCATTACAAGAGTTCAGATCTGTTAGGCCTGGGCAGGAATGTTGGGGGAGATGGACTCCATGGCAATAGAGCCCCACCAGGGCTGGCCATTCGAGGAGCCTATGGTGCAAAGTGCTGCTCTCTAGCTGTAGGGCAGCGAGACATGCAGGGGGGTTGCAGGAGGTATAAGGCAGTGGCACACCCCAAATAGTGGGCTGGAGCTGCGTGGTTAGGGCCTGTGGGCCTGTGCTGCACCCCTCCCCCCCAAAGCCCCCTGGGGATGCATGGAGTGTTAAGGGGGATTCATCTTCCACTGGGGTGGGGAGTAAATTGGCTAAAGGAATGAAGGAGGGAGGGGGGACGGGGGCTGACTGGGGTCAGTGCAGGGGGTCCCTGCAGAAGAGTCACAAGCTGGGTTTGGACACCTGTGCAGCACTCCCTCGGGGTAGCACCTGGAGCTGTGGATGGCTAAAGGACGCTCAAGTACTGGGGACGGCGGAAACCACACTTCCTCACCCCGCCGTGTCCTCAGGGTCCAGTTTTCCCAGGAATCCCTTAGGCACTATGACGGGGATTCCTGGAAATACTGTTCTTGAGGCCATGGCTCAGCAGCTGGAGAAGATCTGCCCCCTGCCGATGCAGAGACCTCCAGAAGCCAGCGGAGCTGGAGAACAAGGTTTGGAAGCACATCTGGGGATTCGCTTCTGGCAATTCCAGGCTGAGCGGGTGGGGGGCTGGGAGGGCGGAGCCCTCCAGCGCTGTCATGCCATGGCCATGCTGGGTGTGAGGGGTGGGTGTGAGCCCTGGTTTAACTCACCCCAGCTCTGCCAGACAAGGCCCAAGCCCAGCAGCTATTGCACCCCCCAGACCACAACGCAGCACAGTGCAAAGCAATCTAGGGGAGCACCGGCAAGCCCAGAAGCTGCCCTGTGTGCTGGGATCCTGCAGGAACAGAGCCTCCTCCTTTATTAGCTCAGAGCTGGGGGTCGCCCCACTCCCTGGTGTGCTGCCATCACGGCTGTGGGGTGAGTCGCGTCTGAGTAAAGGCCCCCCCCGGGGCCTGGGTGTGTTACTTGGCCGCTGCTGTATAAATAAAGATCTGGGCTCATCATGCAACTTGTCCATGGCTGTTTTTTTGGGAGGCGTGAGGGGAAGTCATGCCCCACCATCAGCAAGTGCAAACAGGGCAGCCTGGGGCAATCAGCTCCTCAGAGATCCACCCGCTGCAGCCTCTGCGCCTCCTCGGCAAGGAGGAGCTCAGCGAGGTAGCGCTTTGGTTCCGTACTCTAGGTCTGGTCACCACCTAGTGCAACAGGGCCCTGGCCTAGTTACATTCCTGGTGCTACCCCAATAGCCATGTTAAATGGTCACACTAACTGCAGCCCCACAGGGGTGCCTTCCATAAGGCTGTGCAGAGAGCTTGGGATAGGCCCTAGAACCCGAATCCCCAGGGTAGGGGCCTCTCCTCATTCCCAGCGACTCCTCTCTGTTTGCTTGCCACTGCCATACCACGCCTTGGGCAGCTTCACACCTGGGGGAAGCCCTGATGCCCATGGGGCCGATTCCTCAGTAAGTCCACATCCCAGGGAATCACCAGTTTTGATGTGACTGCAGCTCTCCACTTGCCTGTTAAGGACGTCCTCCTCTGCCCACCCATGTGGCATGCCCCAGATTAGCGTTCCCCATAAGCCATCCTACAACCGCAGTAGGATGGCTGGTCTCTTCCTCCCCCTCCCTCTCCCTCTGCCCCCGGGGCCTTCACTGGGAACTTGAATCTCTCACGCTACCTCCAGCTCTTGTGACTGCCCCAAGCACATGCCCCTGCAGTACCGCCAGCCCTGGTGTGCACCCACTTTCTGCTCCAGCACAAAGGGCGTGAGTGCTCTGGGCATCACTCTGCAAGCCCTCCCTGCCCTGCCAGTCTGGGCCCAGCGCGCTAGCCTACTTTAGCCATCATGCCCACCCCCCGGACATGCAGCACAGGGCAGACCTGCCGACTGCAGCGGAGCGGTGCAAAGACTGAGCCATGAGTGCCACCTTCTGGCTTGAGGTGGCATTGTCTAGGCCATTAGGCACCCTGCAGTAACGTGACTCCGCCTAGGCCCAGTGATGGATGCTCAGTGAACCTCACAGCAGTGCAGGGGTCAGGCGTGGTGCAGGGACAAGCGAGGATGTGGGGTGCCCAATCACACTTACGATGTGCCTCTTCTGCAATCCGCCCACTAAGCTGCCTGTCCTGGGGCTACTCCGACAGCCCAGGCCTCTTCAAACAGCTGCCACCTGCCACATGAAAACGTTTCCTGCTTTCTCAACAAAACTCCCCAGGCCTGAAGCCCAGGATGGGCAATAGTGAGTCCTGCCCCAGTGATGGGCTCAAGGCCTACTAACCCTCCATGGTTAGACACAGGTGCTTTAGCTTGATTCCAAGCAGGACACCCCATCCTAATGGCTGCACTCAAAAGCCACATTCGGTCACTTTTAGAGAGCGATTGTGATCGCCACACAGGCTGTGCAATTTGGCTCCTGCTGCTGAGGGTGAGGTCAATGAGAGGGACAGGTGACGTGAGTTCAAATCCTGCTCTCCTCAGAAAATTTTATGGATTGAGAGATGCCTGCGTCCACACTCTGCTCTGCAGAGCGCCAGGAACCTGGCACCTCGGGAGAGCTGTGTAAAGGCAGGCACACGACCAGCAGATGGCGCTGCAGGTCAGGCTCACAGTCCAGGATTAGCCAACCAAGGCTTCCTGCGGTTCAGGATTGAGGGGCAGTAGCAGAGTGGGGTGACCCAGGATGGGCATAGCAGGATGTGGGGTATGCGATCAGGCCTAGGAGATTAGCAGAGTTTTGTGGGGAGCTCAGGATGGGAATAGCCTTGGGGTGGGCTTGAAGGGCCTCATTGCATGCAAATATGCTGGTGCATGTGAAACTAGGGTGACCAGATGTCCCGATAAAATCGGGAC